ATTTATTTGAAATTGATTTAGAAGTAAGGATATTATTTAACTAAAAATTTATCTTGAAGAATATTTTTCTTATAGTTTTTGAGTTAATGAAGTTGAAATAATATTGCCGGTATATATATCAAAAATTCTTAGTACGAATTGCAATAAAGTGTTTTCTGCTTACTGTTGTTAGTTCACTGCGAATTAACATTTACAATTTGCGCGATATAATTATTTACTATTATTCATGAACGATTATTTTTTGGTTATACAAAAAACCATATCAAGCAATTTTAATAACCAATATTAATAAGTTAAGGTATATATTTGTATTACTATTTGTTTATGGATTGTGAAAAAATTAACATATTTTTGACATTTCGCTTGTGCCACTGTCATCATTGTTTTTTCTTGTAGTCATAGCTTTTTGCTGGCCGTGGTGCTTGTGTCTGGAGAATTGATAAAAAGGTCGTTTCCAAAAGCGTTAATATTCACTTTTTAAACCGGCTTTACAAATTCCGAAATACTTTTAAATATCAAAATTTCAAGAAATGTACCGTGTAGCTCTAAGAAGATCGTGTCAAACTGTATTGCAGGTAAGTTATAAGAAATTGTGTACGTGCAAATAAGAAAACACTCGTGCTCTTCTTCGCCCCTAGCACTGAAGTGAGCTTTTTGGTTGTTATGTCATATGTCAACGAAGTATTGAAAAAAAAATTTCAATATTTTTGAAAACAATATTTTACTTGACTCTGATTTTAATTGTATATTAATAAATACAAAAAAAAATACTTATCTATTTATATGCAAACAATTCAATGGGCATTATGTATTGACATTGCTTGTATAACCAAAAATATGACCTAATCTCATTACAAAATATACCCAATTTACAATTGACTATGAAAATTTATTAAATTATTTATCAGAAAACACAACAACAACAAGCTCGAAGGCATTTAAGCAATGATTTACCACCCAACGTAAGACAAGCCGGCTTTGGAAAAGTAATTTTAATACTGTCACCTTTTGTTGTAATAGGTGGTACTATAACATATGCGAAGTAAGTAATCGCTTTGTAATCACTATTTTACAACAATAACAAGAATGTATTTGCAGTTACGATAAAGATTTTCGAAAGAAGCTAGAAGAAAAAGTACCTGGATCCGAATATATAATAAAGGTAGCTCTCAAAGAAGAAAATCCCTTCAAAAGCATCAATAATAAAATCGATAGTATAAGTAATTCAGTATCTAATGCTACCTCAACTGTGACAGGATTCTTTAGTAGTTCCAAAAAAGATGCACCCAAACGTATGTATATATAAAATATATATTAAACATTATATAAGATTAATTTTAAATATATTACAGAAACAGATGAAATCAAACAAAAAGTTGAAGTCACCAAAACCGCAGCACCAATCCAAAAAACCGTAATCTTAATAAAAATATTTTTATATATGCTTTACATACTAAGCATCAATTGAAACAAACTTTAAATTAGTTGTTTTTCTTCTCATAGACTACTGCCGAAGAAAAAAAATTAACTGTGCCTGCCCCTGAGAAAATTATACCGAAACCAGTTGAAAAGCTACCGGATGATATTATTGAGTTAGAAAAAGCTGTTGAAGTGGCGGCATCACTGGCTGTTAAGGAGTATAATAAAGCGATTAGTATATTAAAAATGTAAATTGCTATGCATATAAATATGTGAATCCCATATATAAATTAATGAACTCCATTTTTTTTTAGTTTCAATGAAGATGTCCGCAATATTGTTGACCAAGCTATAAACCAAGTTGATCCAACTTTATGGAATACGTTGAGAAATAAAACAAGCGCGCGAGATACAGCAGTTGAGTATGCAGAGAAATTGGCACGTGAAGCTGTAGAAAAAATTGGTAAATTCAAATTTTTTTTATGTTCAGCTTTTAATTTATCATCATTTAAAAAATAGAACATAGTAAACTTCGTAATATTTTACAGTACAATATTATACAATAATAAGATATATTGCTCATCATAAAAACAACTATATTGAAACGTAGTGTAGGATTAAGATTCAATACTTCTAGAAAAGGATTGCTAGCATTTTAGTTGAAATGCTATCCTGACCTTATTTCCGAGTTCAAAGTTGTGTGAATTCCTTTAGATTAACAGTGCTAAGTTACAACAAAGTCACAAATTTGTACATATGTTATATAAATATTGGTTTTGTGTACTCTTATTTGGAATAATCATGCTTTACTTATTCTTACAAAAGTTATTATTTTATAGTATAAATATAATTCAATTCCAATAATTGATCATTTACTATCTAAGATAAAGATATTCTATAAAATGACAAAACCCAACAACTTCAACAATGCATTTATAAATTTTCCAACATTATCTTTAGGGACACGGACAAATTCAAAAAATTTCAAGCATTTTTATTTCAGCATACATATAGTTTACTTATGAGAGAAGATGTCCGAAGGTGGTTTATTCTTTCCTCAAAAATGTTATATTTAAATTTATTGCTGAAAATTAAACGTTTTAATCAAGATTTGAATGTATTACTTATAAGTTTAATACTACTAATCTTATAATAATTAATTATGAACTGTTTTTTTTTTAGAAAAATGTGAAATTGCTCTGGGCAAAGCAATAGATACGGAAAACCAGGATCAAATTTTAATAGTACGTAATAGGGTAAAAACCTTTATGGACCATATAAACTCTGTTAAAGATGAACTATATAAAACTAAAGATGTTGCTACAATGTCCGAAAAATACTGGAAAAGCGTAAGTTTAGCATACATTTCCATATAATAGTGAATCAAATTACAAGTTATATATTTTCATTCTTATAGGTGGAAAAAGCTCGCAACTACTTCATAAATGAGATCGAGTCATTATTTCCAGGACTTAATTTAGCTGAGAAGAAACTTAATTTATCTAAAGAGGATCTGGATTTGTTTCTTATGCATGCTTATTCGCACGTTTTAGCGTATCAAAAGGAATTACAACGGCTACAAACGGATGGTGAAGTGCGACTTAAACGTGCAATTGAAGCTTTTCGTGGAAACGATGCATCTGAGGCTGTAAAAGCCCAATTGGAATATCAGTTGGAATTGGAAAAACGTAAATTGGCGCTTGAAAACCAGAAGAAAATTTTTCAAATTCGTTCCGAATCCGAAAGACAACTTAGAAATCATTTGAAGCAACAGGCTGAAGCTCACATTGATCATCTGAAAGATGCATTAGCTTTAAGAGAAAAAGAATTAAAACGAAATTACTCACGCGAACTTGAAGATAAACTAGCCAGTGAGAGAGCAAATTATAAATTGCAATTAGCCGCAATGATGGGTAAAATGCGAGGAATGGACTCTGCATTGCAACGTAAGTATAATTTTGAAAAATATAGCAAATAAAATTCAATTTAATTCTGATGCACGCGGCTATTAGAAATTGATGATGAGTTAAAAGGTATTTACAAGAAATAGTATAGGTTACAATAATTGATTCACATTGAATATTATATATTAAAAAAATATTTGTATTTATACAATAAACAAATTATAAATTATTTTTTAGTTCGTGCTGATAGTGAACGTGCAACTCATCAAGCTCAAGCATTATGGGCAGCTTGTCAAGCACTGTGGTCAACTGTTAAAACTGGCGAACCAGGTGTTCATTGGAAAACTAAACTGCGCCCATTGAAAAATGAAATTAGAGCAATTTCTAAAGTAGCTGGTAAGTGTGTCAAGTTATAGAATATTTCCTAAAATTGATATCTAATAAAAACTGTTCTATTTACAGAGGGTGATGAACTTGTAGCTTGTGTTATTCAAAATTTACCACGTGAAGCGGAAGAACGAGGCGTTTTTCCTGAAGATGCATTAAGAGAAAGATTTATAAATGTTGAGAAAGTTGCACGAAAAGTTGCTCTTGTCCCTGAAAGTGGTGGTGGATTACCTACTTATTTCTTATCTTATTTGCAATCATTTTTAATATTAACACCAGATGATCCTATATCTCAAGATGAATTAGAAAATAAGATATTTGACTATAGCAAATTGGATACATACGATATACTTAATAGAGCGAGGTAAGCAGATTTTTTCATTTTCAAATTAAACATACTGACATGTTTGATTTCTTAGGTACTTTGTCGACCGTGGTAATCTGTTACAAGCATTGAAGTACATGAACCTATTACAAGGTGCTTCACGCAAAATCGCAAGCGATTGGATGAAGGAAGTGCAATTACTTTTAGAAACACAACAAGCTGCAAACACTTTGATGGCACACGCTGCCGCTAGTGGCTATTTATATTTGTAATTGATGTTAATGGGGCAAATGCTAATTGAGTTTATTTTTATTGTGACAAAATTAAAGCTGATTATAAAATTAAATTTATTTAATTTATGTTTAAATGAAATATAGAAAAAAATAAAGAAAATCGAGCAAGTACTTTAAATATAATATTAAGTATTTTACTTTTAACTAATAATTATATTTATCATTGCAATTAAATTTTTCTGAACATTGCAATCTCTAAACCCGAGAAGTTTTTGTCCAAACAGAAAAAAATACCATAATCAATAATAAACTTATAATTGGATTAACTCCAACTATAACGGTGTCCGAATTGTTCTCTTAACGAACACCATTGATATAGGATCGCTACCACAACGATAGATCCAATAAAATAGATTCAAGTAAAAGATAAATATATTAATTAATATATTATACAATATTAATATACATCCATTAGTAGTAGTTAAAGCAAATAATACAAACAACATATGTATACCAATTACCAATATTTATCAAGCAAGTTAATAATTTCTTAAGGGTTCCAAAAACGGTCAGGTCTGCGTCGCAGAGCCACTCGTCAAAGAGTAGCAAGTGGGCTTCAACATTCCCCATAAGGGTCACACAAGCAGATCCGGGCGGGATACAACAACAACATATTTCTTAACCGTTTATAAGTGTTATAAATATTAAAAAAAAATGTTTTTTGCATAAAATTTTATTGTTATAATTTTATACTACATAGGTGGCAAATAACTAGTTGCAATATAAATAAAGTCTTATCGTAACAAATAAATGTAATTCAACAGTATAATTTTGTTAGGTGAAGGGGCAATGTATTCGAACGCCATTGTTTGTAATTCAAAAGTTATTGATCAATTTTTTGGTTATCAGTAGGTTTGCTAGTATTTGTATTGTTACTGCTAAATTTGTCTAACGCAATAAATTTCCACCGCATATAAAATACACGCATGCGGTCCCAAACATTATCAAATGAATCCATAGCTGGACGTACATCAAGTAAAGCAAACTTGTATTCACTATCAACGAGTCCACCATCGTAATAATCAATGACATATCGTACATCCTTTCCACAGCGATCAACTATCCAATCGTGACGATCAAAAGGTAATTCGTATCTATGAAAGTAACATATACCAAACAATTCTTTATATTTTAATTTCAGACTCACCCTAACCAGCTACGGAAACGCGCACGGGGACTAAAATTTGCTGCCTTGCCGCCAAAACTTTTTAATCGAGGATTGCCACATTCGCGTGCATGTAACGCCTCCCACTTAAGTACTTCTTTCCAAGCTTGCTCATTATTAGCATTGTGTATATGTATGATATCACTCATATCTTTTTGACTTACATCTTCATTCTTCCATCGCCAACCTTTCCGTAGCATAGCATTCCAGAACATCTGTTGAGACGGATATTGCCAGAACTGTACACTACCGTCTTCCGTGACTTTTGGTATACTAGAAGTTACTCGATCTGTAGGCAGTGGAAACGGCTGATCTGGTGCTGGTTGCTGATTAGCGGGTGGCATCATATTAAGAGGATTTATATCACCTTGTCCATGCTGTACAGGACATTCAGAAACAGGTGACGATTTAACAACAGGTTCTGGAGATTTCGTTACATCTTGCTTCTGATGCATTGGACATTCAGGAGGTGGTGATCCATCTCCCATTTTTAAATGGGTATGATTTTTCGGCATTTCTGGTGCTGCTGCCATATTTACAGTTGATAAGCCATTACCCATTTTTTTCTATTAGTTTTAAACAAAAATAAAACGTTTTTAATACATAACATTAAAAGGTTTTATATATTTTAGTTGCGTAATTTACAACATGTGATAATTTTCTAAGAACAAACATACATCGTTTCGTTTGCCGGCTGCTTAACAAATCTAATTAAATTTAATATATATTCCACAATTAATTTACTACATTAAAATTTTGTTAAATAAATATATCCTTTTTGTTTAATTTTCAACCTAATCAAATTTAATAAAAATATAGAGCACGAGATATATAATTTTAAGAGAACATATTTTGACGTTTCCAGTTGCACTAAATTATCAAAGAATACGTGCTTGGACATCACATTTGCAACAGTATGAAATTTCACCTCGAAAGGTGTGTTGAATATTATTCTTAATATGATAAAATATGTTTTAAGTAACAATAAAAACAAAATATTTTAGATTAATAATAGTATTAATTGTTATTACATACCTATTTGAGAACATTAAAAATGTAAATGTTATTTGCGTATTAGTCGTAATAGTCGTATTTTATTTGCAGTGGGTATATATACATATATAAAAAATATGTTGCCAACTATATTTTTAATTTTTCATACGTTCTGCGGTACCACAATTTTTGTTTTTATCAAAATTCTTCAAAATATTTCTATACAAATATAGATGTACTCAAAATAAAACGGATAGTAGAACCACTTTTTAGACAAAGCAATTTTAACATATATGAGTATTTGAATTTTCTATTTTTAGAAACTGTGTTGTCCAAAAATTAAATTAAAAATGAAACCAATAATTTTTACATATATATTATGTCATTATTATTTTAACTTTCCATCATATTTGTATTAAAATTCAGATGGTAACTTGCCTGCTGACTTGCAGTCAATTAACAGCTGTTTTTTTGATTTCACCACGCAAGCTATAGAACAAAACAGGTTTCTACCACGAATTACTAAAAACAGTGCACCAAGGTTTTAGAGAGCAAATTACATACAATTCTGCTTCCATAACTCGAACTTCTATAACTCGAATTTCTCTATAACTCGAACAAAAATTTTTTTCGTGCCGATAGGAATATTGAAAAGTGCATTCTAGGGGAAGTCCCTTTTCCGAACCAAATGTTTAATTTTTTTCTGTCTTATATTGCTTCTTTGTGTAGATGCCAGTCGCTGGCAGCGTGGTTTAAAGTAAATAAAATAACTTCCAATGCTATTTTTAACGATTATATTAAGCTTGACAATAAAATTTGTATATTAAGCTTTCATATAGATGACAATATTATTGAGCACTATAGTTCTAAATTACTGGATCTAATTCTAAGCCCAACGGAAAGTGATGATGAGGCTTCGGTGGATGTAATTGTTTATCAGCCTTCCAAAAATGAAGTAGAAGACTCATTCAAAATTCTGAATTCATATTTGCTTTTTTGATGTTATTTACATAAAAAAGCAATTAAATGTTAGTACATCTTTTTTATTTCCTTGCATATAAGGAATAACGGCACTAATTCACCAAACCTTAACCAAAACCTAAACCAAATGTATTACCATCGACAGGCAATGCACCAAATTTTTGATAAATATTCACTGGGAACAATCATTCACGTCTGCTGAAATGAAAATAATTCAACTTTTTGATCGTAATGTCCTCTGTTACACCAACTACAAGCGCAGGTGTGACGTCCAGCACTTGCCAAACCCCATACTTCAGTTTACCTACATTGACTAGTTCGACCTTATATCCGCCCGGTGATAGGTCACCCGGCTGCATGACACAATCCCGACGTTTCCACTTCTAATACCCTATTCTCTGAGCTCTTGCTAGTGTAACAAGCTCCTCAATACTTTGTCATATACTGCAATAAGAGGTATACAGATGCGTCCATTGCTCCACTTTACAACCGTGGCCTTCATGATTCTAGTCACAAAGTCTACAACTAAAGCATACCACTCGCAATTATCTTACTTCAATACCTTCTAGCTTAGATAAATCTAAGAGTCTTTAGCTCAATACTCTCCCCTAATTACTGCAATGAAGTTTGCCACATTGCTCGTCAGGTCAGTGGTTCAAAATTTTCTTCATTTATTCAGAGATGGTTTTAGTGGGTTAAAGTCTTACATTGTGCTGTCTATGCTTTCTACCTACTGCGGAAAAAAAAATATTTTTACTAGTAATTTTTGAAAACTATAGACCACAATGTTTTATTTAATTGTCTAATTGACAAGTTTAATGATAGATATATTTTTTTAACTACAATTCTTTCATATAGGGATTTACTAGGTGAAATATAGATTAAGGATTTGATTTAAGTACAATAAATGATAACTTTTGTGTATAAAAAATATGTAAGGAGAAAATATTAAGCATATTTTAATTATGTGTTTATAATTTCATTCGATTTCATCCAATAAGATCGAAATTTTTATATAATATTGAGACAATTTGTTGCAATAATAATATAAATTAAAATTTTAAAAACGTTTTAATTGTCAGAGACATCATAACAACAAGTTCATATATTAAAAATTTAAATAATAAAATTTATTCAGTCAAGCACTGATAAACATAACGTGTTATTTGGAGAAAATTATTGCTCATACGCCTCGTGATACCATTTTAAAGCTTTTCCAACTAAAAAGTGATAAATGTGTATTTTTATATATAAAATTGTAGTAGTAACTCTAATTATTAAATGTAATTATTTAAGTAAATTTCCTGTTTTGTCTTGAAAAATAATATTTATTATTTATAATTAATGAGCTTGTGGTGACGTAGTTTACTAGAACGAACACGTTTCACATGCTTAAATCTATTCAATATTCATCTTGTTTTTTGTATTTTGTTTTTGTTTTTTAAAGTTCACTCACAGCAAATATTTATTTGAGCTTTCATTTACTCGTTAGTCACTTTGCAATGGCATTGGCTTAAGCCGTTACATCAGTCAAGTTTTTATCTTTGTTTTAATATGTTTTTCTACACGTGTCTTAAATTACACCTATATTGTTTTTGTGTTTTGTTGTTTTTACTATTCTTGCTTAAGCAAAATCAATTGTTATGCAGCTATTTCTGTTTGTTGTACAATAAATAGCTTATGTCTCTCTTTTCGTTATTGTTTTTGTTATTGTTTTTGTTTTTGTTTGTGTCGCAATAAATCAGCCCGCGTAACAATTGAAGGTGAACGCTGCCATTGCAACTGTCATAACCAGCGCACAAATGCAACAAGCATTCATTAGTATCGATTTCATTTACATGCCGACTCTAATGCGGCCGATGGAGAGACTCGTAATTGTTGGAACTTCAAAATTAAAGAATAAAATAATTCAAGCTTTCAATTGTGAAAAAAAAAATGTCAGTTGCAGACAAAAATCCACACGAAAGCGAAGGGAAGCCCTTAAAGCAAAGGTGTTATAAAACAGATTTTGAAGAACCACATTATCATTTCGTGATGGTTTGTTGACAGTTTATTATAGATAAACACTTTGTGTTTTTCTCATATATAAGATAAATGTATATAACAATATTTTTATATAAAAGATTTAGCAGATATAACGTTTCATTTGTTTTTCACTTGGGAAATATCGCTTCACTTAAGTATTCTCTATATATATATATCAGCAAGAATAATAACATTATTTAAATTATTATAGAAATCTAAATAGACTTTTAACTAAAATTTAATGCTATCTTTTAAAACTATCATGTATGATTACTATCTGTTAAGTTAGACTTACTATATGTTAAAGAGATTGAAGAGATTACCTATTCAAACAACCATATCTCTTTAGTGTAAAAATATTTTTTAATTATTCAAACTACAAAAATATCTGGAAATAATCAAAATTTCAGAATATATCACTCTTACTCGATGTGACCATCGTTTACCTTGACTATGGCCTTGAAAGGCTTAAAAAATTGTTTGCATGCTCACGGCTCTAAAGGAACTTC